GCGGGCAGCTTTGCCGATAGATGCGGGGGCTTGGTGGGGGCTAAGCTTCCTCTGGCACGGCGCACGCCTGCCTGCACCCAGGGACACCCCTCCCTGTTGCCCTGCAGCGATGGGCGCTCGTAGCCCTCCCTCCGGTCTGTATCCGGTAGTCCAAAGGCTGTTTTTCGGGGTGGTCTTGCTAGCTTTTATCAGAAAGATGGTGCCTTTCTGCCTGCGGCTGGCACATCAGGGACCGTCTCAGCCCTGTTGAATTAACCCTGCTGTGTCTCTTCTCTTCCGCAGGTGTGGGACCTGGGGAAGGGCTTCAAGATCCCCCAGGTCAACCAGTCCGGGGTGCTGGTCCTGATCTTGACCCTGCTCTCCTCCGCGGGCCTTGCGGCGATGTGAAGGTACCTCCCGGCCGTGTGAAGGTACCTCCCGGTTGACGACCTCCCTTTTTATTGGAAGATTTGCTCCGTCCTGGCACACCTCAAGATGTGCGTGGAGAGGGATGTGGGAGGACAGGCTCCTGAGTAGCTACAAATCTTTGGGGAAGGTGGCGCTTCCCCTCCTTGCAAATCTCGTGGATGATCAGAGTTGCTTTTCATTAGCCCGGGTGATGTGCTGACCCCCTCTTAGTGGCGGGGGGGAACAGGCGAGGCGGGCTTCACGCGCGGCACCCCCCCCTTTTAAATTACCAGCCGATCCCGGCACATTCAATCGCTTGCAGAGAGCTGCCTAGCTTCTTCCAGGCAAACTCCAGGGCGTTTCTTTTCTCTGCTCTGTCCCCAAGCTTGAGACAATGCTGAATCTGTGTCCCCGCAGGCCCGAGTGGGCTCGGGGACGGTTGGTAGCGCGTGTGTAGGCCTGGTGCAGGACAAGCATCTCCATTGAGGCAGCCCGTGCCGGGGCAGGGAGAGCAGGCGGAGCTGCCAACGCCGGCACCCAGGAGGGGAATGGGTGATCGGTGCCGTCCAGGTGCCGCGCCGGCCACAGGACCCTGCGCTTTCTGAGCCTGGCAGCGTGAGCTGGCTGGGATGGGGTGCTCAGACCTGCAGAGGTTCAGTCCCCACTGTCCTTGAAATGTCGTGATTCAGCCAGCTTTGGGGCCCTGGAGCCCCTGCCAGTGAAAACATCTGATTTTCCCCTCTTAGGAAGTTACTCCGTCTCTGGCACGATGGGAGGGACGTGGTTTTGCAGTTGTGTGTTGCCACCAGCTATCGTTTCAGCACTTGTCGCTCGTCCACCTTCACAATAAAGCAGCCTTGATCCTTCACACTGAGCCGCCGAGTTTGTCGTCTGTGCTCAACAGCGTTCGCTGAGGTGAAGTCGGCCGGGAAGGGGTGTTTTGCTCTGCGATCCGGGGTCACCACTTCCGCGAGGAGCCGGGCGATGGAAAAACAAACTGTTTGCAGCGTTTAGAGGCAGGTGTAGTGCCTGACCTTTGGAGCTGGTGGGTGCAGGGCTGACTTGTTTGTGAAATGCTGCCAGCCTGGCAGAAAGGAATTTCCTACCTGGACTGCGGTTGGTTGTGCTGGTACAAACGCCTGCGCGAGGTCCAGGAGCTTTTTGCTCAAATTGGCCAATTTTTAATGTTTGCCGCTGAGAGCAAAGCTTTGCAAAGAGGACGCTCCCCGTCAGGAGCTCTGTCCCATTATCCCGTCCCAGCGAGGGTCTCGGCTCCGTTTCAGGAAGGATCCTCCTTCCCGTTCACATCATCAGCTGGCAAAATGTTAGCTTTTTGGGGAACATCTGCTCTCTTCATTGGGCTTTTGATGGAGACCTGAAGTGGCAGGGGGGGAGCCGGTCCAGTAACGCTCTCCAAGATCCCTCGCGCCGGCTGGGCTTGTTTCCGTGTGATTGCTTTTACTCCCGTCACCAATCCGAGCCCTGTTCCTCCCGCTCGCTCAGCGCCTCTGCCTGCC